ACTTTTTTCTTTCATTAAGATAGGAGGGCGTGGGATGCACCCTCTGCCTGTGTCTCTGCCTCTCTCTCTGTCTCTCATGAATAAATAAATAAAATCTTAAAGGAGTAGATTAGAGGTTACCAGGGGATGTCGGAGGGGGAAATGGGAGCAGCGCCTAATGGACATGGTTCTTGCTGTGGGGTGATAAAAGAGGCCAGGAAATAGTGGTGAGGGTTGCACATCATGAATGTAACGAAACACACACTTAAATGCCACGAATCACACACTTAATATGGTTAAATGGCAGATTTTACATTGTGTGTGATCACAATAAATTTTTTTAAAGATGTATTTATTTGGGCAGCCCGGATAACTCAGAGGTTTAGCGCCGCCTTTGGCCCACGGTGTGATCCTGGAGACCTGGGAGACCCACATTGGGCTCCCTGCATGGAGCCTACTTCTCCCTCGGCCTGTGTCTCTGCCTCTCTCTCTCTCTCTCTCTCTCTCTCTCTCTCTCTCATGAATAAATAAATAAATAAAATCTTAAAAAAATATATTTATTTGAGGTGGGGGAGAGGCAGAGGGAGAGGGAGAGAATCTCAGACTCCTTGCTGAGCATGAAGTCGGACATGGGGCTCAATCTCAGGACCTAAGTTTATGACCTGAGCCAAAATCAACAGTCAGATGCTTAGGGATCTCTGGGTAGCTCAGTGGTTAAGCGTCTGCCTTCCGCTCAGGGCATGATCCTGGAGTCCTGGGATCGAGTCCCACATCGAGCTTCCTGCATGGAGCCTGCTTCTCCCTCTGCCTGTGTCTCTGCTTCTCTGTCTCTCATGAATAAATAAAGTCTTAAAAAATTAAGAGTCAGATGCTTAACCAACTGAGCCACCCAGGTGCCCCTGTCCATAGCCATTTTTTAATACCTTCCATGTGGCAGTTCATAAATGTTATCCCTAATTTTCCCCACAATCCTGCAAGGTAGGTACAATTGATTCCATTTTAGAAATGGGGAAACTGAGTCTCACGTCCATGGTCTTTGCCATGTATTGGCTTCTCCCTTTCACTCCTGGGCCTCCTGCCTTTACTTATGCATGAGCATCATAAGCCTGTCAGTTCCTAGCAGTGGGTTGATCATGTCTGAGGACAACAGGTCTAGAAGCTTTTTCTGGCCCATGTGGCTGTTCCACTTCAGACAGGCACCTCTGTGGACATTATGACCTTAGTGCCTGGGCCTGGCTGTTCAGGACACACAGGCCACCCACAAAGACTTCATCCTCTTGCTGCCTCCTCTCACCACCTCTGCCAGAAACATCAGATCCAGAGGACAATTTTCCATCACTAAAACTTGCCACGGGGCCGTGGGACTGCAGATGATGGCAAACCCACCATCACTCTCCTTTGAAAGGGCCCAAGTCAAGGTCCCTTATTTTTTCTAAGAAATTTTTTGGGAGGCGCCCAGCTGGCTCGGTTGGTGGAAGGTACAACTCTTGATCTCAGGGTTGTGAGTTTGAGCCTCACACTGGGTGTACAGATTACTTAAAAATCTTAATTTTTTTTAATTAAGTAAACTCTGCCCTCAGTGTGGAACTCGAACTCACGACCCTGAGATCAAGAGTCATCTGTCCCACCGACTGAACCAGCAAGGTCCCTTAAGAGGTTCTCTAAACCAAAGCTGAGCAGCTTCCTGCCCTTCCGTGGGTCCCGATTCTCCTCCCTCTGCCCTGCACACAGTATTACCCTCAGGCTTGTCCAGGTTTGGTGTCCCCTCTAGCTCATAGGATCCAAGATATCGGGATCCCTGGGTGGCGCAGCAGTTTGGCGCCTGCCTTTGGCCCAGGACGCGATCCTGGAGACCCCGGGGTCGAATCCCACGTCAGGCTCCCAGTGCATGGAGCCTGCTTCTCCCTCTGCCTGTGTCTCTGCCTGTGTCTCTCTCTGTATGACTATAATAAATCAATCAATCAATCAATCCAAGATATCTGGAGAGGACCTGTCTTATCATGTGACCTGAGTTTGGGCTGAGACCAGGATGTGGTACTCTAAACCGGCTCTGAGAGGTTGGGGAGCCCCCAGCCTGCCTTGCCTCCTAGGTCAACTTTGCTCACCTCCCCTTCTGCTTCCAGTGATCTGATGAGATGGGCTGTGGAAGGAAGAGATTATCTCAGTGACAGCAGGGGTTCCCGGGAAACGGGCTCAGGCTGGAGACAAGGCAGCCCAGTTCTAAGGTGCAGACAGCATCAGCATCATGGCCAGTGAAATGGGTTGTGATCTTCTGACTTTTTTGGGGGTGTAGGGGAGAGATAGGGGAGGCTGGCCAAAGCTGGGAGAGAGGCAAAAGGAATCCCAGAGACAGAGAGGTGGCAACTCCTGTGAGCTTGCATGGAACTTGCTTACCATCACAGCACACTGCCCTTGCCGGGTCCTGATGGGGGGGGGGGGGTGTCTCCTGGGACCCATCCTCCAGGTCCCAGGCACCTGGAGAGTGCAGTCTAACACCCCTCAGTGCCCACCCTGGCACCAGAGTCAGGTAGTTGGCCCCTCCCTTCTGCTTCCCCAAGGCCAGTCCACACCCTGACCTGCCTGCCCAGAGCTCTGCCTCTGACCTCATCCACTCTGCCCTCCCAGAAGAGCTGTCCTGGTCCTTGGAGGTGGAGGGCAGTGGTGAGTTGGTCCTGGGAGCCTCAGATGGAAGAGGCCAGGTGGAGAGCACACCCTGAGGAATGTGGTCACTCCAGGTGGGCCCCTCAGCCTTGTGGTTCAGAGCCCCTAAGCTCCCTTCCTCTCAAAGGGACTGATCCATCTTTTGCATGTGGCTCAGGGCAGGGAGAGGAGCAGCGGGAGCCCCTGAAGGCTGGCTCCAGCCCTCCAAAGGGGTGTGCAAGGGGACTATGGAGGGAGGCCCAGGTGCCCTGGCCCTCATGCCTCCCTCAGGACCACAGAGCGGGGAGCAGGAAGGAAGCAGGACGCCACAGGGACTTGAACCCTGGCCCAGCAGCGCTGGGCGTGCCACCACCAGCGTCTTTTGCTTTTTCCTCCTTGTTTTCGCACAGACTCAAAGGTGAAAAGCAAAACCTGAATGTGGCCATGAGCCTCATCCAGTAAAAGAAACACCTGCGGCGGCTCCATACCTCCCTCCTTCCCTCCCAGGCTCAGCCTTTCTTACCCTGAGGGCCCTGTCAAGGTGCAGCCAAGGGGACGAGCATCCCCTGGCTTTATGGCTACACATTTCTTGTTATGCTGGATGCATATCCCAGCTTCAGATCAGGAAGTGAGAGGAAAAACTGAACCACAAATTATGGTCCTGCCTACTCTAGGACAGTGGCAAGCCTTTGTATGTATATGGAAATTTCCAGAAAGATCCTAAGAAACTCGAGAGGCCACCTCTGTGTAGTAGTGCGGGGATGGATAAAGCGAGAGGGATTTAAGTTCCACTTTATACCTTTTCCATGGCTTGAATTTTTAACTCTATGCAGATCACTTTTATATTTGAAGGCAAAAATCTCAAGTTTTTCATCGGAAGAGGAAATCTAACAACTAGGGGAAAGTTCAAGTACCCTGGTCCAGTTCAAATGCCAATGGTCCTCCAAGTCTGCTGTGCCCCTGCTGTGTGGAGCCACACAGACTAGCTCACCTGTCTCACCTTCCATCCTCCATCTCTCCACCATTGCCCACTGTGGGGTCCTTCCTGGGAACTGCCACTGCTTGAAAATGAAGTTAGAAGCACAGCACCCCCACCTGCCTCTCATGGGGAGGGGGGATCTGAGGTCCCGAGAGGACGGGTCCAAGTCACCTGGGCCCCAAGAGACAGGAGGAACAGGAAGCCCACCCTGGACCCTTGGTCAGTTTCCCGTCCCGGGCCACCCTCCCAGTCTGCTGCTCACAGCATCTGCCACTCCCAGGCCAGGCTCTGCCTCAGTGGGCCCACAGCGGGTCCAGTGGAAGCACCCTCACAAGCTCTGCGGTCCTCATCCAGGAGTCCTGGCCTGGGCTCTCATGGAGGGGATGGAGGTGGCTGGACCTCTCCTGTTGACCCTGAGGAGTTCAGTGGCCCCTCCACAGCAGGGTCCAGATGAGAAGCTGAGAGGCTCAGAGAAGCCTGCAACCTGTTCAGGGTCACACAGGTGCATCAGGTCAGGCTGAGAACAGGGTCCTCTGGGACCAGTCCTAAGGAAGTAGAGCAGAACCAGTCCCACCACCCCTCCTCTTCTCTCTCTCTCTCTCTCTCTCTCTCCCCCCCCAGGTCTGGGGGACCACTGGGTGGGCTCAGAGCCAGGCTTCTATCCCCCTCACCCCATCTCCCTATGTGCCCCCCCACACCTCCTAGCTTCCCCCGTGGCTTCCCCTTCAGGCTTCAGCCCCCAAACACACCACAGAGCACAGGCACTTACTTACTGCAGCAGGAGAGAGGAAACAGCCATCTAAGTCCCAACCTGAGATGAAGCAACAAGGCTCTGGCCTTAAAAGGCCTCAGAAATGGGGGTGGGGTGGGGTAGAGGTGGTAGTCAAAACATTGGGGTAGAGGTGGTAGTCAAAACATACTCTGTAAGACGAGCAAAGAATGAATTCAACATGTTAGTGACAAAACGCTCGAGATACGTACTTGAAAACCCAGAGTGATCTACACAGGGAAACATGACGCTGGCAAATGTTAAAGTGACTTCAAGGAAGCCCTACACACTCAGAGTCAGAAACTGTGTTGGCAGGGTAAATGGAGCACATAATTGGCCCTTTCGAACCACCTAGAGGACAAAGCAAGTAAGCAGAGAACCAGGCAACTGCCTGCCCCTTCCCTTGGGCCGGTGGGAAATACACACAAAAAGCCTTGAGGTCTAATTTGCCCAAAGATGTCTGTGACCCCGTAATTTATAATCACAAAATACAAGTGGATAGGGGCAGGCTCACAGACTGGAATGCCCCCCGCGGGCCTCAACTAGAACAGGTGGATTATTTCAGCATGGGGAACTGTGCCCGTAACAGAGGCTGACGTGAAAGAAGCAAAATAACTCCCAATCACAACTGTGTAAGATAAACATGTATATGAGCAGGAAACAGAAAAGAGATGTAAAAACAGTTTCAAAATTCACCAGCTGAAAATTCCAACACACAGGCACTTCATTCAAATGCAAAGGAGAAGACGGTTGGGGACAGGGTAGGGTGTAGGTTCCCATTGGCACTGCCAGCATCAAGTGCTCCACACAGCAGGGGCGGCCTGTGCCGCCTGGAATCTCCAAGTACCAAATACACTGCAGCAAAACACATAGAACAAAATTGGTAAGCAGTTGGGTGGGTGCATGGGGACCAGAAGTGGCGGGGGTGGGGGGGAATGTCATCACCCTTCTTATTACACAAGGATATATAGTAGGGATTTGGATTGGACCAAAAACCATCTAGAGGGACTGATCCAAAATACAGAACGTGACAAAGAATACCTTCTCAAATGCCACAGAACATGTATAAAAATAATCATACCTTAAGCAATGAAGGGAGCCAGATTCCCTTCACAACTCAGAGGCTTTGCTCATGCCCTTCTCTCAGCTGGGAATGCTCTTCCTTACAGCTTCACCTACCCTTCAAGTGAGAGCTCAAAGGCCCCCTCCCTGGGTTGGGGCTTTCTCTCTTCACTCAGGCTGTAACTCCCTGTGGCTGTTACTGCACTGTGTTCACTCATGATCTGTATAATCACCAGCTGAGACCTGTCCTCCATGGAACAGAGGTGCCAGAGGAAGGCAAGGCCATTCATCTCACTTTCCTGTGTATGTGGAGACCAGCTCAGAATCTGGCCAACATGGAGGAGGTTGTTGGAATAGCTGTTAAGACTCTCGGTAGCTCTTCCCTCCCGTGCTCCTGCTAGGCTCCAGCTCCTACCTGGCACCTGTACAGCCTCTGAGGTGGTATCAGTAGTCTCCCTTAGGAAAGAGTCCACACCCTGGTATCTGAGGCCCTTGTCCACCATCACAGCGGGTGGTGGCCTGACTGGAGCAGGAATGACTGCTTCCTGCTACAGCCTCCATCCATTACTGTACGTTGCCTGAAATTCGGCATGCAATGCAAGACTCCAAAAAAAAAAAAAATATCCAAGCAAAGCTGAAGAACTGATAAATTACAACATGAGAGCAGAACTGCTTATTCTATCTAAATCTGCTTCTTGAAAGTCTGTTTCAGATAAAATCCAGGAATAAAAAGTGGAAATTCTTGATAAAAATATTAAAGTGCCAAAAAAAAAAAAAAAGTGGGGCAGCCCAGGTGGCTCAGCGGTTTAGTGCCACCTTCAGCCCAGGGTGTGATCCTGGGGGCCTGGGATCTGAGACCCACATCGGGCTTCTTTTTTTTTTTTTTTTTTTTTTTTTTAATCTTTTTTTATTTATTTATGATAGTCACAGAGAGAGAGAGAGAAAGAGAGGCAGGGACATAGGCAGAAAGAGAGCAGGCTCCATGCACCGGGAGCCCGACGTGGGATTCGATCCTGGGTCTCCAGGATCGCGCCCTGGGCCAAAGGCAGGCGCCAAACCGCTGCGCCACCCAGGGATCCCTCACATCGGGCTTCTTGCATGGAACCTGCTTCTCCCTCTGCCTGTGTCTCTGCACGCCCCCCGCCCCTTGCTCTGTGTCTCTCATGAATAAATAAATCTTTTTTAAAAATGCTCTACACTAATACCTATGAGAATGGCAATTTTCTTAGAAAATTTAATTTTGAAAAACTGACTTATAATGAAATATGGACTAGCATGTAACTCAGAAGAATCTGAAAGTTTTTAGAGATCACCGAATCTCCAAAGAGAAGGGGGCAGCCCCAGGCGGTGTTAACAGAACACTGTTCTGGGTGAAGGGGGAACTCGTTCAGTCTGCCCTGGCAAGGACAAGTGACAGCAGCACCCCTCACTCCCAGCACCTGGGCCACACAACCTCATTCCAGCTTCACACAAACCACAACTTATGTTCTAGCTCTATTTTTGTCCCCATCTTATTGAGGAAACTGGCTTCAAGGATTTAAGAAATTTGCCAAAGTCATGTGCTAATAATAAGTGGCAATGCAGGGACCAGAAACCCAGTGGTCCAGCTCAAAGCTTGCTCTTAGCTACCGTTCTTTTTTGTTTTAAAAGATTTAATTTGTTTATTCATGAGAGACACAGAGACACAGGCAGAGAGAGAAGCAGGCTCCATGCAGGGAGCCCGATATGGGACTTGATCCCATGACCCCAGGATCATGCCCTGGGCTGAAGGCAGATGCTCAACCACTGAGCCACCCAGGCGTCCCATTAGCCACCATTTTTTTTTTTTTTTTAAGCCACCACTCTTAATGGTGTCTATGCCTCTCTGAACATCCTGATACCAACACCTACCTGACAGCGCCCTTAAGTTGCAGTGGACCTTCTGATTCATTTCTGTGGTGACAGAATAAAGTTCCAGGCCTGGAATGGTTTGTCTCAGAAATCCTAGGAGGGCTTAATATTCCATGATGCAATTAATCATGAGAAAGTGAGAGAAAAACTGGATGCTCATCTAAAAAGATGCAGGAAAGACAGTTGAATAAATTCCGTATCTATTACAGACTTAAAAGACAAAACAAAAACTTCTAAGCAATCTACTGACAGATGATCCCAACACAAGTACCAGGCGACATTTGGGGACACTGTATGTGAAAGGTCACACCAGAGTAAGTGATCCCACATCACACTACAGGATCGGGTCACACTCTATTCTCTGCTCCCAAACATCAATCATTCACACAATACCTGGAGATTTTTTGCCACATCTGAATATGGCCAGTCCTATTTTTTCCCCTTAATCAAGTTACTTTTAAAAAATAAATTTATAAAAAATAAATAAATAAAATAAAAAATAAATTTATGTCAAAGAACACTACCAAGAAAGTAGAAACATAGCCCCCAGAAGGGAAAAACCTATTTGCAAATCATCTGATTGGGGTCTAGTATCCCAAATATGGAAAGAATTTTACAATTCAATAAGATAAACACCCAATAAAAAAGGGAACAAATGGATCAGTAGACACTCCTCCAAAGATCTATACATGGTCAACAAGCACATGAAAAGGTGTTTCATGTCATTAGTCATCAGAAAAAAGCAAATCAAAATTACATGAGATACTCCTTCACACTAATTAGGATGGTTACAATTGAAAAGCCAGAGGGGTGCCTAGCTGGCTCAGTTGGAAGAGTATGCGACTCTGGGTCATGAGGTCAAGCCCCACAATGGGCTTAGAGCTTACATAAAAACCACAAAAAAAGACAGATAAGAACAAGTGTTGAAGATGTGGAGAAACTGGAACTCTCAAAAGTTACTGGCAGGAATGTAAAATGTGCAGCTAGCTACCCTGGAGAACAGTTTGGCAGTTCCTCAAAAAGTTAAAGTTATCATTTGACCCAGCAAGCAGTCCCACTCCTAGGTACATACCGAAGACAATTTAAACATGTTCACATAAAGAGTTCATAGCAGCATTATTCATAATCCCACAAAATGTGGAAATAACCCAAATGTCCAACTGCTGAATGGATAAACAAAATGTGGTCTAGCCACACGATGAGCTATTATTCAGCCTCACAAAGGAACTGTTATGCGCCCTGGCATGAATGAACCTTGAAAACATTATGCTAACTGAACAAAGATGGACACTAAAGGACAAATACCTTAGGATTTCACTTACATGAGGTACCTAGAATGGGGACCAAGAACAGGCAAATTTAGAGAGATAGAGAATATAATAAGGTTACCAGGGACCAGCGGGAAGGCAGGATGGGAAGTTACTGTTTGATAGGTACCAGACATCTGTTTGGGAAGATGGAAAAGTTCTGGAAATGGATAGTAGTGATGGTTGCAAACACAGTAAATATACTAAAAACCACTGAATTATATACTTCAAAAGCCTGAATTTTATAGTACGTGTGGGATATTTCAATTAAGAAGAGGAAAATATTTTTAAGAGGAAATACGTAATTATCACCAATTTTTGAATACCTGTTAAAATAAATATGCAAATGTTGACATTTAAAATATCTGCTGGGATGTCTGGGTGTCTCAGCGGTTGAGTGTCTGCCTTCCGCTCAGAGCGTGATCCCAGGATCTGGGATCAAGGTCTGCATCAGGCTGCTTGCAAGGAGCCTGCTTCTCCCTCTGCCTGTGCCTCTCATGAATAATTTAAGAAAGTATATAAACAAAACAAAGTCTTAAACACATGGTACCATCATCAGAAATTTTAATAGGAAAAATAGCTCTAACCACAACACTGAATAACATTTCTAGAAGCAAACTTCATAAATGCACCTAACTTGCACATGAAGTCTGAAATTCCTGATGGACATAAAAGTCATCCTATCCTGAACAGGGAGGCCAGTTCCTAAATGCAAAGTCTCAATATCATAATATATTGATAAATGTAATGCAATTCCAGTAAAAATCAGAATACCTTAAAAAAGAATGCCAGAGGCTTGTATTAACACACATTATAATAAGATACAATGAAGCTAATAAAATGAAACACTGGTAGCAGAGGAAAGACAAATTGGTGGAAGACTAGAAAGTTCAGAAATAGACTCAATTATATTGAAGTATTTAGCCCATAACTTACAAGTGCACACCATTTCAGATTAGCAGAGAAAGCATTATTCAGGAAGTGGTACTTAGAAAATCAGCTAGCCATCTTGAAATAATTAAGATTCTTACCTCCTACTATACAAACACCCAAAAAACTTCTAGATAGGTTAAAGAGCCATAGATATGTCAAATGTCAAAAACTAAAGCACAAAGAAACCAGTGGAAAATATAGAATATCAAAGTATGAAACCATAACAGTAAGAGATTTGATGACCAAACTTAAAACTTACATCAGCAGGATCCAACATGTAAATTTATTTTTAAAAATATTTTTTTAAAAGATTCATTTAGGGATCCCTGGGTGGTGCAGCGGTTTGGCGCCTGCCTTTGGCCCAGGGCGCGATCCTGGAGACCCAGGATCGAATCCCACATCGGGCTCCCGGTGCATGGAGCCTGCTTTTCCCTCTGCCTATGTCTCTGCCTCTCTCTCTCTGTGTGTGTAACTATCATAAATAGATAAAAATTAAAAAAAAAAGATTCATTTATAAGAGACAGAGACCAAATCAAGCTCCATGCAGGGAGCCCAATGCGGGACTTGATCCCGGGACCATGGGATTACATACACCTTGGGCTGAAGGTAGATGGTCAAACTCCTGAGCCACCCAGGCACCCCTCCAACATGTAAATTTAAAGGCAAACTACAATCTGAAACCAGCGCCACGTGGTGTGTCCCCTATACTCAAAGAAAAAAGAAAAGCAACTATAAACTTGAAAAATGTTTTGTTATATACAAGGGTAAACGCAGTATACAAGGGCAAAGGGTAAAGAATTCTCTGGAAGTAAAAATGTAAGTGAAACACAAAGCAACACACACATCAGCCAACAAAGTGTTCATTCAGCTTCACAGGATCAAAGGTTTGCAAACTAAAACACGGGGAAGCTCGATTTTCCTATTAGCAAAGATAAAACCCAAAACAGCCAAGGGCTGGGCTGGGGGAACCTGTGCTGCTGGTGGGCTGGGGAAGGTTGAGGTGTGCCTATCTTTAAGGGGGGTACTTTCCAACTTGAGTCTTAAAACCTGGAAGCCATAAAAGAAAACAGTGATAAAAAATAAGTATGGTTAAAACCCTGACCAGCAAAATTTTAGCATGAAATGTACAATCATGATCAATAACAGGAAAGTATTTGTAGCACAAATCACAAAGGGTTAATTTCTTCCGTATATAAAGAGCTCTTTGAAAATCCATAAGCCCACAGCCCGAAAGAAATCAAAACTACCGTGAAATACTATTGTCACTTCTCACATACAAAGAACCATGTAGGCGGATATTCAGTATAGCCTCCTATACAATAAAGGTTGCTAGAAACAAATTGTTCCCCAAAAGGGAAATGAGAAATTCAAACATGGACTATGACACAGATGTGGAAAAGCCCAAGGGAGACCATAAAAAAAAGATGCAGTGAGCACCTTGATGTACCGTTAACTTAACAATTCAAAGTGCAAGACAGGGTGTGTGGTGTACCAGGACCTCCACAGTGAAATATATACACAGGATTCTCCAGAAAAACTCCAGCAACTGGCCACAATAGTTGCCTCTATAGGAACCGAGGCAATTTTTCTTTTTTTTTTTTTTTTTATAATTTTTTTAAATTTATTTATGATAGTCACAGAGAGAGAGAGAGAGAGGCAGAGACATAGGCAGAGGGATAAGCAGGCTCCATGCACCGGGAGCGCGATATGGGATTCGATCCCAGGTCTCCAGGATCGCGCCCTGGGCCAAAGGCAGGCGCCAAACCGCTGCGCCACCCAGGGATCCCAACCGAGGCAATTTTTAACATCTGCAGCTATTTCACTTTGAACATTTTTACATCTTTAAATGAACTAGAAAAAAACTAGCAGAGCCTTGCTGTCAGGTCAGCATAGAGCAGAGGCAGGGCCTTGCTCTGACACCCAGACAGCTGGCCACACAGCTATTACATCAACAGAGGTGTCAGGGCTACAGTGAACCAATCTCAGGGTTCCCAATGTTAAGCTCTCTGTGACGCTAATAGGTGAGTATGAGACAGAGCCGGGTTCACACCTGTGCTCTTGGCACTTGATGGAGTCAGAGACAGCAGGTACTTAAATCAGCCAAGCTGGTGCTAAGCTAGACAGCAGGAGAGGGAATGGACTGTGCCCCACTGAAGCGCACTCCTTTTCCACTTAGGATTAGAAATGCCTATAGACAGAAGCCCAATGAGATTTCAACAGACCAAACAAACAATATAATTAAATGCTTTCTGCAAATGTCACAACTGCTATCCTAGAATAGTTTGTTTTTCAATCTGCTTAGGGGAAAGAACAGCAGAAGTAGACTGAGTCTTATTAAGGCCATTCTTGCTTTGTGCTAAACAGAGAGTCCCAGACCCAGATAGCACAGAGAGGTAGAGCTTCTCTGCTGTACTGTCCCAGAGGGGCTGTGAATGCCTGCAGCTTCCTTAAAAAATACACTTAGGCAGATTTTTCTTTTTTTTTTTTTTTTTTTTTTTAGTTCTATGAAAAGAAAGTAATGGTAAACCCTGTATTCAGGATGAGATATGCTGGCCTAGAATGAGGCAGGGAGATGGGGGGGGGGGACAGAGGGAGAGCAGGGGAGACAACCACATGGGTAGAGGAAGCTACTGCCTAAAGCCCTAGTTTTCATACTATACAGACGATTCAGAAATGCTTACCACATTATTAAAAACATCAAGGAAGCAAATAAGAGAGCCATGTTATGTCACCAACCAAAGATTAACCTAGTTTTGTGTACTTCAGTTCCAACAGGGAGAGAATATTTGCGCTTTAAGAAGTAGCAGAGCCTCCACTTATTAGATTTTAAAACATAATAAGCAGTGACGGTCATTAAAATTTGCTGTATTTGATTAGAAACAAAAACTAGAGGCTAAAAACTCTAGCGATTTAGGAACATGATCCTCAGACACTAACACTGACCTGGAGCAAAGTAAAGAGAGGGGTTCCTCAATAAAAGTTTGACATTTCAACTTTGTAAGTATAATTTAAACCCACTCCTAAGGTGGATTCATAACTCCTTAAATGGTGATGAGTTTAGATACCAAAGAAAAAGTAAATCAGAAGCAAACCTAACAGACTTAGTAGTAGTTACCGCTGGACTTGGTAGATGAAATGTTTTAAAAAGTCCTCATGTAACAGATACTTTTTGCACCAACAATAAAAGGAAAAAAAACAGTTAATTCCACAATCATAACTGGCAAAAGCTGATCTTCCAAAGTGAACAGAGTGCATGATCATTATGAAAACCAATATGGAATTTCATATGGTAAGTGGTCAGAGGAAGAGGCAGATGGTAAATCAAGTGGCAAAAGAGACTAACCAATAAATTCAAAAACACGGATTAAGATTACCAAAGGACTTTTTTTTTCCCCCCAAAGGACTTTTAAAAGTAGCAATAAATACTTCATGAACATTGGAGTTGGCAAGGATTTCTTGGACAGGACACCAAAAGCACAGTAACAAAGGTTTAAAAAAAAAAAAGAACTGACTTGGACTACAAGAATTAAAAACTTCTGGGCATCAAAGGACACCATGAACAGACTGAACAGGCAACCTATACAATGGGAGAAAATATTTGTAAATCACAGATCTGATAAATGGTTAATATCTAAAATATTTGAAGAACTACAAATAGCAATAAAAAATAACCCAGTTTTAACGAATAAAGGACTTGAAAAACTATTTCTCCAAACAAGACACAAGGGATCCCTGGGTGGCGCAGCGGTTTGGCGCCTGCCTTTGGCCCTGGGCGCGATCCTGGAGACCCGGGATCGAATCCCACGTCGGGCTCCCGGTGCATGGAGCCTGCTTCTCCCTCTGCCTATGTCTCTGCGCCTCTCTCTATCATAAATAAATAAAAAAATTAAAAAAAAAAAAAAAAAAACAAGACACAAATGGCCAGCCAGCAATTCTAGGGAAAGATGCTTAACATCACCATCATGTTAATGCAAATCAAAACCACAATGAGATGCCACTTCACACCCAGTTGGATGGCTGCTATTTCAAACAACAGAGAACAAGTGTTGGTGATCAAATGGAAAACTGAAATTTTTAAAAGAGATTTTATTTATTTATTAATTTGGGAGAGATACACAGAGAGAGGCAGAGACATAGAGGGACAAGCATGTTCCTTGCAAGGAACCCGATGTGGGACTCAATCCCCAGACCAGGATCATGCCTTGAGCCAAAAGCAGACACTCAACCACTGAGCCACCCAGGCATCCTCAAAAACTGGAATTCTTGGGATCCCTGGGTGGCGCAGTGGTTTAGCGCCTGCCTTTGGCCCAGGGCGCGATCCTGGAGACCCGGGATTGAGTCCCACGTCGGGCTCCCGGTGCATGGAGCCTGCTTCTCCCTCTGCCTATGTCTCTGCCTCTCTCTCTCTGTGTGTGACTATCATAAATAAATAAAAATTAAAAAAAAAAACTGGAATTCTTGCAAACTGCTGGGGCTCTAGAGTGGCGTAGCTGCTATTGGAAAAGTGTGAGGCTCCTCAAAAAATTAAAAATAGAAATACGTATAATCCAGCAATCCCACTTCTGGGTGTATCTCCAAAAGAAATGAAAACAGGGTTTCAAAAGGCTTTTTTGTACACCTCTCATAGCAACATTATTCATAATAACCAAAAGGTGGAAGCCATCCATTTATCACAGATGATAAATAAACTGTTACATACAAACACGGAATGTTTCCGCTCACTTACTTGATCTCTACACTCAAGATGGGGCTCAAACTCAGGACACCAAAATCAAGAGTTGCACCTTGTACTGACTGAGCCAGCCAGGTGCACTTGTTTCAACTTTTAAGGAGAAAGAAAATTTTGACACATGCTGTAACACAAACCCAGAGGATCTAATGCCAAGGAAAATAAGCCAGTCACAAAAAGGCAAATGCTTTATGATTCTACTCAACATGAGGTACCTCAAACTCATAGAAACAGAAAAATACAGTAACGGTTACCATGGGCTAAAGGGAGAAGGGAATGGGGAGTTTTCTGGGTATGTAATTTCAGTTTTGCAAGATGAAAAATTTCTGGAGCTTGGTTGCACAACACTGAACTCTACTGAACTGTGCACTAAAAATGATTAAGAAGATATATTTTACATGTATTTTACATTTTTAAAAAGTTACAAAAATTGAAAAAATCTGGTATTAGCAACTATGTAGGGAAATGGAGAGACTCACGAGAGGAAATGTAAGCTTTCCAGAGTATCTGAGTCTCTGACACAAGTTGTAAAACCATGCATGCTCACTGACCAAGCAACACCCCTCCAGGGAATATAATGCAGTCGCCAAATTCAAAGAGATGCTCACAGCAGGCGTGACCGAAAATAGTCAAAACACTGCTTACAACTTAAGAGACTTGACTAAATATCCTATACTATAAGTACTTTGGGATAAAATAATGCAGTTGTTTGATCTTTTTTGAGGTCCTGGACCTCTTTGGCAAGTTTATGCTTTTCACAGAAAAATATAGTTTCTGAGCATTCAGACTTCTAGAAGCCCATCCATGCCATTCCTGTAGAATTAACTACCCCGAAAAAAACTGATTTCCACAGTGTTTGTGGACTCTGCTGATACAGGGAGATGTGGATGGAAACAAAATTAAATGCAAAACCAGAACAAGACCAGAATATATACACTGATTGTCATTACATAAAAGGCTCAGAGCAAGGGAAGCAGGTGCCTAAAGGGCAGGAGAGGGAAAGGACCAAGGGGTTGGACCTGAGGCCCAGCAATAAAGGAAGGTAGCACTGTAAACGCTAGTGCCCAACACACACTTACCTTTATGCCATCTCACAGATGAGGGAAAGCAGGCCTGGTGGGTGGGGCTAGGTAGTTCTGATTCAAATTCAAATAAAGCTGCCAGGAACCCCACTGGTAGAACCCAGATCCATCTTTGTGTACCTACTTTTGATGCTCTCTCGTGGGGGGTTGCTATGTCCAAAACAGGATGGTGGAATGGGGAGTCATGGAGGAGCGACAACCAGGACTCCGGTAGGGACAATCAATACCTGCCTGTCCCCAAGGTCTTCTCTAGTGAACTGTCCCATTGGGACAACAATCCTCATGGCTGACAGGACTGTCACTCCATTGTGGAGCCCCAGGGGGGTCAGAACCAGGAGGGGAGCAAGCTCTGGGGGCTCTCAGGGGGCATTAGCTCCCACTCCCCGCCCACAGGAGGCACAATAAGCACCAGCTGTGGTATATGTATCAAACCATAAGTGTCATAATATAGATTAATATTTATATACCTTTGAGATGGGAGAGATCTAAGTACAATGAAATATAGAAACTAAAGAGTGACGACCTCAGAACAATGTCACTTTTGTATGTCCAAAGCAATAAACAAAATGAAAGGCAATCTAGAAACCAGGAAAAATATTTGCATCAGATTTTTTTTGCATCAGATTATTAATATCCTTCATATGTGCTTTCACAAAAGAATAGGAAGTTGAGGGATCCCTGGGTGGCACAGCGGTTTGGCACCTGCCTTTGGCCCGGGGCGCGATCCTGGAGACCCGGGATCGAATCCCACATCGGGCTCCCGGTGCATGGAGCCTGCTTCTCCCTCTGCCTCTCTCTCTTTCTCTCTCTGTGACTATCATAAATAAGAATTAAAAAAAATTATAAAGAATAGGAAGTTGAAGCGTGCACACGCACGCGCATGCACACACACCACTACAAATGACCAATCCACACAGATGTTTAGTCTTAGTAGCAGCAAAGCAACGCTCACAGCCCTAGTAAATAAAGCAGCAAGGATCCACCCAAGGATCTAAGGTTTTTAACACGGCAAGATTGTTCTGTGGAGAAGGGAAACAGAGCCAGGTTTACATCAATTGTGAGAAAACTAATTTAGAAAATACCACCCAGGGAGGGCTATTTAACCTATGAATGAACCTAAAGTCTTAAGTTTGACATAGGCATTTCATATATTAATATATCCCAAAGAAAACATATCAGATGTGATAAAGTGTGCGCTTTGGGGCAGGTCATCACAACTTCCCAAGAGAAAAAAAAAAACCTGGAAAACATGCCATATAAATGAGATTGTTTCAATCGACACAGCCCTACAATAGATTACAGTCCCCACCAAACGCTCTTCAAACAGGAAGTTTCATTATACATTAAGTGTATTAAAAAAAAAAAGCATATTCAATGCATAGTAGGAAGAAAAACCCTAGATGCAAATGTCAATAACAATTATTAACAGAGGATTTTGTTTTTTCCCAATTTTACTTGTAAACCCCACAATAAACCTTTATACAGCAGAACTCAGTTAAGAATTAAAGAGAAGGAAGGTGGTACAGAGCTGAGGGGTCCACAGGGGACACCCACCAGAGCAAGGTCAAGGCCATACTCCTGGGTACTTACACCTTCACGGCTTTATTTCTAATTGTTTTTGCTACCTTCCTCTTGCCATTCCAGGCTGCATCAGTGTATTTTTGTTACATATGAATGCTTAATACATACAAGAATCTGTAAGCCTGTTTCACATTTAATATCAGCACCACACAAAAGCATTGTACAAGACCAGAAGTTAACATTTCTTCCAGAGACAGCCACAGAGAGGCTGGGTTCAGCATAAAAAAGTGATTGTTCAGGGTCAATGAGACAAACCAAGGGCAGCTGACGGTGGGGGAGGAGGGCGTTACTGTCCAATGCCTGTTGTAGGGCCAGCCACTTCTGCAGTTCTAGGTCCAACCTGGGCTCCCAGAGGAGCCTCCACCCATACTCACTCTCAGGCTTTTTTTTTTTTTTTTTTTTTTTTAAGATTTTACTTATTCATGAGACACAGAGACAGAGGCAGAGGGAGAAGCAGGTTCCATGCAGGGAGCCTGACGTGGGACCCCCATCCCAGGTCTCCAGGATCACGCCCCAGGCCAAAGGTGGCACTAAACCACCTGAGCCACCTGGGCTGCCCTATTTTTCTTTTTGAAGGGGACTTCCAAATGCGCATTTTGCTGTCCTTATGCCCCAATCCTTTAATTTGCACATCACCATTTTCTACTTAATGGATTTCATCGTATCATCCACTACCTGTGGGAGTTCAGAGAAGGATGACTGCAAACTGATTAGCAAAAATCACCAACACTGCCATCAACACCTGCAACCCACCCCACTTGGGCGCAGGTGCAGAACAGGTAGGAATCTCTTTCACCAACCATCTCAGGAGCCCCTGGATTGGGTGGAGGCTAGGAGGCATGGGCCCCAGCTGCCTGCTCTCAGCCCACACCAAACATTACACCCTCATGGAAATTCTTTATCAGCCCAACATAGTTGTTAGGAAACAGTGACATTTAGAGAGGCATTTATAGCAGTTACCCTTAAGACTGGAAGTAAGAGTTTTGTAATCACCATATAAAAAATAAGTTTGGAAAGGGCAGGGCGGATGGAAGGCTTGGGTAAAAAAAGGAGAGAGGACTATGTAGGAAAGTGTATTGTTCTGGGGGAGCAAGCAGTGGCACCCACTCACAGCAGATCCATGACCTCTGCCTCCCCCCCCAACCGGCCACCTCCTCCTGCCTGGCACCAGTTTTTCAGTAGCAGACAATAAAGGCTCCTGAGGCCCCAGTTATGCTCTTGAAGGAATTCCTTAGGCCAGGCTCTCCCACCCCTTGTTCAGGTCAAGGCACTCATCCATCCCCATTCCACATCTTAACCTTTCCTTCAGAGGTAAGCTTCCCTTTCAGCTCCCTTGAAAACAAAAGCCTTAAGAGGCTGGCAGTTTTTTTTTTTTTTTTGGCAGCAGTTTCTGAGCCCAGTTTTTGTCTCCTGTAGGGCCGAAGAGTAAACGCCTATCAGCAGCAGCAGAGCTTCTCTCCCAGGATGAAGCCACTGCCACATCCCCACCCAGGATACATGATCAACTTAAGAGCCATGAGGCAAACGGGATTCATGCCCTCTGCATAACCTCGACCTGGTTCTCACGGCAGAGACACCTGAGCTCAAACTCTTGGTCACCCAATAAAGCCAAACTCTTTAGTACTGGAGAGGAGAATTATGTGGTTAGACCCAAATCCCAGATACACTCCAGCCTCCTCAAAACCACAAAAATGGAAAACAGATTACATGTGCTGTATGCTTTAGACCGTTTCCTCTAAGCAAAGAGAATGATACGCCCCCTTTTCGACAGTACGGTTTGGAAACCTAACCAGTTAAAGTTCAAGGATATTACAAAGTACTCCCCCAGTACCTTGACACTGACCTTCCTCGGCTGGATGGTTCAGTATCATATTTTGCACAACCATTAGACACCACAGGGAGGAGAGCCCCCATTCCCATCCACCAGGCTGCAGGCCATTCAGGCCCTACCAGTTCTATTTAAGATCACCACGCTCCATTAAACGACCTCAATTATTTAAAACTACTGAAGAGCAAATCTCAGTCTAAATCTACAGTAATGTAACAAATTGCATTATCAAGAACACCTCATTTACACAAAAATAAAAGTCGGAAATCATAACATAGCAATACAACAATTATGAGTTTAGAACTCAAACCTTTATTTGTGCTGTAAAGAGGGAGGAAAAATGATTAGTAATGTACATGATGCAACAGGGCTAGTTCTTACCACAGAGCAACACAAATACTTTAACCACAGCTTCAATTTCACAACAGCACACCCAAACACATTGCCCCATACATGCAGGACTCCTACTCTTTAAATTCGTGTAACAGCAATTACATCATACTAAGTCACTGATTAAAAACTGGACAATACCAACATGTTTTTAAACATTAAAAATAACCCAGAAGACAAATCCCAGAGGCAACAAGTATTGGGGATTTTAAAATGAAATTTAAGGGAAGAGGCACAGAATTAAAAGCTACCAGTATTGGGCAGCCCCAGTGGTGCAGCGGTTTGACGCCGCCTGCAGCCCGGCGTTTGATCCTGGGGACCTTTGATCCTGGGGACCCTGGACGGAGTTCCAGGTTGGGCTCCCTGCATGGAGCTGCTTCTCCCTCTGCCCACCCCCCTCTCTCTGTCTCTCATAAATAAATAAAAACTTAAAAAAAAATGCAGCGCTGCAATGATAAACATTACTGAAAAAAAAAAGCTACCAGTATTACCTTACCAATTCAATAGATGCATCTCGGAAATAAAAGTCATCATAAATGGTTTTCAGATTTTTCTCTGAATTTTTAACAGACCACATCTGAGTACAGGTCCCCCTCCACTTTGCTAATTCCCCAAATTGAGTTGCCCCTCAAACACTAAATCAATTTAAAAAGCACATTCAAATTAAATATATAATTAACTCTAACCATCACAAGGGCACATGGTTTGCTACCAAATATTACAGTAATTTTACAGAAACCATTACAAGAATAGCAAGACTTTTTTACTGCTGCCAATACAGACCACAAAGAGATGTATGATTCCTTTAAAAGTCATTGCATTTTCACTTTGTTCAGAATTTTCAATCACAAAATCTTGAGTAAATAGAAATGTTACAGACCCACAAGTACATCTAATCTCAAGTGCACACCAAAATTTTGAACTTACTGTTTTAAATACTTTTTAATACTTTAAATACCCAATTTTGAAGTCTTTCCTAAGACCTCTAGCTCCCCAGTACTGCACACCTTCACATAAACCACTGAAGAACCTAGCGAAGCAGTGAAGGCTATTACTCAGCTGATGGGAATTTCTGCACCCCGCCTTTAATGACTGGCATTCCTGTTCAGTTACATTTTTTTCAGTCTTCCCTACTTTACAGCAAAACAAAACAATTTTGCTTCTTTACCTGCATTTAGCAGATTTCCAAAGGACTTTTTAAGTTTCTAAGCAATTTTTATGCTTCCAAGAGACAACTAGCATTAACTACTTTTCTTTGCCCAGTTGTCTATTACATTCAAATGCCCAGAGCTCTACTTGACCTTTTTACAAGAATTCCCTTCAATCCACATGTCCTACCATCCCCACCGTCTGCAGCACACAGCTAACCAAACCAACCCTCTCCCTTTCCTCACCCCCACCCCTCCCAGCACCAATGGCAGCCCAACCCTCACCTCGGAGTTGTCCCATTAAGATTACCTTGAAATTAAATTCACATTACAAAATACATAGAACTAAACGATCACTGGTAGTACCCCAACCATTCCCTTTGCTTAGTTATCTGCAATGCAATTGGAATGCCCAAAATAGACCTGTCATTTCTAACAATTTGGCCACAACCAACTTATACCCAAGACTGTAGCAGCAAAACACAATTCCCCTCCCCCAAATTGCCAGTATGCATAAGTATTGCCTAAAGCATTTCAAATGTGAACACTTTCCCAAAATACAGGTTAGACTAGAACACTAATTCCTCCAAACAATGCACAGGCGGGCAGGTAGGCAGGTGAGAAGCAGGGTAGGTGAGAGGGTCACTGGGCTCCATCTGCAAGATTCACCTACAAGGCATCACTCTGCGTTGAGGCATGTTAGAATGTCCTACAGCTTTTAAGATTCTTCTTGAAGCTCAAATTTCGTAGCCCAGAACTAGTTATGACTGGGGGCTCAATTTAGAAGATGCAGCATCTGAAAACCTCCACCTCAGAAAAAAGGAGGGGTGTCTGCTGGCATTCATAAGCCTGGAAGTTGATGCTCCTGGATCAGACAATCAAACACATCTGTGGATGGCCGGACACATCTGCTTTGGACCTTGAAGGACTGCCCCCTCATAAGCTCATCTGAAAACCTTAAATGGCCTCCTGAATATAGGGCTTCCTGAGCAAGGCCTGGAAACGGGACACAGGAGAACTTCCACCTCTTAAGGCTCTGGAAATTCAATCTGCAGACATCCACTTAGGCGGGATCTCTCCTTCAGGGTCTCCCCTCCTGCACTGCTACGACTCACACTGGCCAGGGGCTCCAATTCTCCTGGTGCCATCTGATCACCACGATGAACACTACAGTAACAAACCTTGGTCCATGAGGCATTTGGTAACCGTCACCGGGGGCCATTGCTGCAGGCCCGCCCAACGTATACATTCGATCCCCACCCTCTCCGCAGGCAAGCAACACCACCCCACCCCACCCCACCCTGGGTCTCAGCAAGGAGGGCCTTCCCTCCTTCGCGATTACCAACCAAATTGTTCAGGGCCTTCAGCAACTTTCCCAGGCTTACCAGGTTACCAGAAGCAATGCTTTAAGTGAATGGATAACCTTGAGAAAGCTAAAGGGAGGAGGAGGGGCAGAGTGAGCTCACAGAAGTTAGCACCGAAGCTAGAGAGAAAAGTCCGAATGGAAACACTGGCACCTGGAAAATAAAGCGTGGGTCAATTTTGTCCACAGACACACCAACATCCTGCCTCGGCAATCCCCAGCCTGTCACATGCGGCACCACATCAATAACGCTTAGGTGGCACCTTACCTCCTCAATCACTCTTGAGACCACCCTCACCACCAATGAGGGGTCTGGCCTCACCCCCAGAACTGGGTTCCAGCAGGCTGGGCATGGCCTGGACTCTATCCCAAGCCGAACCAACATTACATACTACCCTGGGCCAGAGCTGTCGGCCCGCGAAGCTAAGTTCAGTTTCCACAAGACCAGGCCTCATCCCCTCGCGGGTTCGCAACCCTCTGGGAAAAAAAAGGGGGGGGGCTGCTGGCATTGACAAGTTCAAGGCCTGCCATGCCAGCAGCCCACCTGCAGCCCTGCACCCCACTACCTTCCTTCCTCCTCCTCATTCCCCGGGCATCAATTGCCCAAGTCTGCCTCCTCTACAGGAAGAGTGGCGAGATCCTGTCTCACCTAGCTTCTACCTGCCTTCCTCCTGCCACACAAACCAAGGCGCTGGGGCCCCGGGGGGCCACGCAGGAGCAGCCCTCCCAGAGGTCAAGTTCCCCTTCCCCAGAAGGCAGCAGCTGAAGGGCTGTCCTCCCCGGGGTCACGGCGGGAACCCTCAGGGCAACTCTCCCCACCACAGTTCCCCCCAGACCTAGTCTCCTCTTTGACCTTCCTCGTCCTGGCATTGGCATCCCCACCCCCCGGAGTCTCCTCTGCCATTTCCCCCACTGCCCCCTGAGGCCCTGAACTGGCCGCTTCCGCCCCACCACTAAAACCAAGCCCGCGGCCCTCCTTGTCGCTAACTCCTGATGGACAGGCCACGACTTTTGCTTTTATAGCCCACGGCCGCGTCACTCGGGGCATTGCTCAACGGGACGATTCCTCCACCGCCACCGGGGAAAAAAGTCCCTCCCCCCACCCTCCCCGAGCAGCGGCTCGGGCGGGTCTCCCGGGCGGCCGTCCCGCGGATTCCCGGGTTGCCCACGCCTCCCCTTCAGCAGGGCTTCGTGACCCGGGGAAAATATTTCAAAGTTATATTTGGGATGCGATTTCCGTGAGCGAGAAACCGGTTTCATTCCTGGCGGGGGGAGGGTGAGGGGGTGGAAACAGCGCTCCCCGAAGCGGAGCGGGGCAGCGTGGGGGAGGCCGCCTGGGGCTCGCACTCTCGAGGGGCCCGGAGGAGACGCCGGGGTCGCCTCAGGTCACCCCGCCCCGCGCGAGCCCGAAAGAAGGGCCGGCGCGGCGTCTGGAAAATTCCAGGCGGCGGCGGAGGGATCTCTGCAGAGGGCGCATCACTCCCCGCGGCGGCGGGTGGGGGCGGGGCGCACCGCGTGACTCCTCGGGCGGCGGCTCGGCCTCGTGAGCGCCGGTGACGTCAGCGCCCAGGCGCGCGTGGGGGGCGGGGCGGGCCCGCGCGGCGGGAGTCACGACCGTCGCCAGGAAGGGGGGACTGTCCGCACGCTGTCCTCTGTGAAGCGCGCGCGGAGCTGGGGGCGTAGCGCCTCTGCTTCAGAAACTCTTGTCATTTTGGGCTGTTAGAAGTGGCTGGGGGCAAGTTGATCCGAACGTTGAGCCCCGACGTTGCTGCCGGGTGGCTCCTGGGGATTGTGTTTATGGTTTTGTTGTGCTCTGTGGCCGGGGGCCTGAAGGTTTGAAGTCTTTCATAGCAAAACTCCCTCCTCAAATAGGCTACTTAATGATTTTTCGTGATGTATTAAGTGGAAATAAGTAGTTGGCAAAATAATGAAATCAAAGTCTTGTTTATGGCGGAAAACTGCAGAACTGCATGGCTGTAAGATCAAAAGGGTGTAGATGACCAACTCGTTTTACGTTTGCATTGGGAGGTGGGGGAAAAGGGAGACAAAAAAATAAACAACGACTGAATTTGTCCAGGGCAGTTTACAGCCTGTGATTGGGCCTCAGGACTCTGAGCCATCAAACAGGACTTGGGGGCACTGCCTGCTGGCTGCTCACATACAGCAGGCCTCCAACCTGGGTCTTTTATTCTTTAAGATTTTTATTTGAGGGCAGCCCTTGGTGACACAGCGGTTTAGCGCTGCCTGCAGCCTGGGGTGTGATCCTGGGGACCCTGGATTGAGTCCCACATCGGGCTCCCTGGATGGAGCCTGCTTCTTCCTCTGCCTGTGCCTCTGCCTCTCTCACTCTCTGTGTCTCTATGAGTAAATAAACAAAATCTTTATTTAAAAGATTTTTATTTGAGAAAGAGCACAAGTCAAGGGAGAGGGAGAGAGAATCTCAAGCTGGGTCCTCCTTGAACATGGAGCTTGACTCGGGTCTCCATCCCATGACCCTCAGAGCACCACCTAAGCAGAAACCAAGAGTGGGACTTAACCGACTCAGCAACCCAGGTGCCCGCTGTGTGGATCTTCTAAAGCAGAGGTAAAAGCAAACCCTCAGACTCTTAGCCCCTCGACCAAGGCCAGGCCTGAGTGCTTGGTGAGGCTTTTGCAAAGGGCAGTTAGCATCTCCTTGTCAGGGTGAGGGGAGAACCACAGCTTGAGACCATGTGGCCTCCATTCAGCCCTGGCCCCCTGAAGTATAGGGTGGAGGGACTGTGGTCAGATTAACCAGAAGTGAGGAGGACTTGACCAACTCTCTGCCAGAAAGTCTCCTCCAAAAGTAACCACCCATGCCCCAAAACAAAACGTTCCCTGACAATAGGTTCCCTTAGCAACTGAGAGGAAACTGGGAGAGAACTATTCCCCAGCCTCTGCAACAAGGCGTGGGCAGGTGGGGCTGGGCCCCTCCTTGTGGTTCTTACAAAACTGATGACTCTCATGTGACCTTCAGCACTGAAAACAGAATTTGTGGCAAGTCCAGGCTTGTCCTCTAGCAGCTGCTCTTCTGCCAGGGAAAGATTCCTGCAGTACACCTTCATTTAGATCTGCCCCCTCAGTCTTGTTCTGACAATGTTTCCAGGGGTCGGTTGGTGAGACTTGGCGTGAAAGAACAATGTGAGAAGAGGGATTTATCAGAATGTTCTAGAAGCTCTGAGGTGTGTATAATACTAAGCAAGTTCCTTTCCTGCTGCGTCACAGTGCCAGGCTGTGGAGTCAGCCCTATATTTATCTACAAGGCGCCAGAGAGGCGGTAGTCTCCATGGCTCTGTGGCTGCTTCCTGGGCCCACTTGAAGTCTTACCTTGCTTTTCTCTACCTGTAGTTTAAAAATCGTCCTTCAACGTTATCATTCCCAAGTTCCAGAAACAAACTTCCTTAGATTTTTTTTTCCCCAAAAAAGTAGTAGTAGGTGGAATTAGCAACATAAAACATTAGGATTCTACAAAGCTTAGGATTCTCCATCACAAAAGGCCCTAAAGCCCTGTGTGCCCTGGTGACTGGAGCTGCTCTGGCCACTAACTCCATTTGCAAGGACAAAATGGCAGTTTCAGGGGGTCTTGTTTAGAAGCTCTCCTGCCCTCCAGTTCTATACAGCTGGTGTTCTTTGGGAAAGGAATGTACTTATTGAGAGGAGTGGAGGATAGTGTTAAAAAGAAATGGCATATCTAAAACGGAGTCACGTGTGCTAAACCCCACCAAAACTGAATGCCTAACTTAATTGCAGTGTCAGACCAATCAGTCTGGAATTTCCTGATTCACTCTAGTGAGGCAGCCTGCATTAGAAGGCCCCTGCTCTTCCATCTAAAGTAAGGTGACCTTGGCTTGAACTATTTTTCTTTTGCTAAGATCCTCCTTGTCATACCCTATTTTGGTCTATAAAACCCTTCTATTTTCTGCAGCTCCTTTCCATTTATCAGATGGAACACCCAATTCATGAATCATTGAATACAGCCAGTTAGGTCTTTACATTTACTCAGTTGAATTTTGTGGTTTTTTTTGTTTTGTTTTGTTTTGTTTTGTTTTGTTTTGTTTTTAACAGTAGAAAACCACACAGGGGCATCTCTGTCCTGCCTTAGGGAAGGCCAAGATAGTCTTACAATGAGGTGGACAAATGTGGTGCTTGGGTTCTGCCTCTTTTTCTGCAAATAAGGCTAAAAATACCTCCACCCTGAGGGAGGAAGAGAGCAGGCAGTGCGTCAGCAGATTTCTTTGGATCAAAACAAGCTGTTCCAGGAAACAGCAACCAGGAACTCGGTGGGGCTGGTGCGGGATCCACCCAACCGGAGTGAAGCCCTCTCCTCCCTGGGGAGCCCACTTGAGAGCTTAGGGTTGGAGGGGAAAGGAGAACAGGAAAGGACCCATTGGGCAACATCTGGATTTTTCAGGGTCGGGGCTGCGGTTCCAAGTCCTTTCATACAGCCATGGCTGTCTCCCCACCTTGTTCTGAAGCCAGCTCAGCTCTGCTTCCAAACACACACCAGCCTAGGAAAGCACCCAGATTTCCTGCAGGAGCCACTGGAAAACAGAAGAGGGGAGAAAAAGAGGTTGTACTTCAGGTTCACACCAAGGGCAGGCGACCAGAGAATGTGCCGCCAGACTCTGCTCCCACTCCCCACAGGTCCAGTTCCAGGGCTGTGGCCTCCTGGGCCACCTTGGCCGTCTGCTCACAAGAACCTACCAGTTGGGCCCTTTACCCTCTGAGCCATGAGGCCTCTTGTCTCAGCCCAGGAGGAAGCTGCACAGTCACCGTGTGCTGGCCCGGGAGCCCTAACTGCCCTGCCAGGCCCCACCTCACAGCAGCCCATGCAGAATCAACAACCTACACACACCCCACCCCCACCCCCAGCAGCCCGGGCTCAGGAAGACAGCCCCCATCTCACAGTGTGGTCCTGGGCAGGCTCTTAACCTCTCCCATTCTTTTCTCATTTTCACTTAGGTAATTCTGACCTATTACGGTTCTGCCTGGAAGGCTCTTCGCCCAGTGCCCATCTGGGCCAGCCGTCCCTCAGGGGCTCAGGCCTCTGCCTGGAGGTCACCTTCGCAGTGGGTCGTGGACCGCACTGGGGCTTCGGCTCCTTGGGGGGGGGGGGTTCTGTTTGTTCTGCCCTCCGCTGGCTCCCCGGTCCCTGGCACACAGCAGACCTCAGTGTGTTGAAAAAAAGCAGTCTATGTTTTTATAAAGGTCACTCTGTTCACTGTGAGGCTCTCAACAAATATTTGTGATATTGGTGGATAGAAGGAAGGAAACAAGTGCCCAGGTCAGCAGCCGTCCCACAAACTCAATGACAGGCCCAGATTTAGGGGCCTGTCCAGCCTGGATGCCCAGGTCAGGAGATGAGGAGAAAGCATCAGGGGCTGCTCCCTGTGGGTGGGGCCCAGCTTCTCAACCTGACCGCCAGGGCCCAACTGAGAGGGTCCCTGTCTGCTGGTGCTGGCAGAAGGCATCTGAGGGAGAGAGTGTCAGGGTTCGGACTCCCCAGACCCTGGCTCATGAGGGAGAGGAGTTGGACATACCTACCTACACCTCATGCTCGAACTAACTTTCTTTTTTCCCTTCCCTTCCCTTCCCTTCCCTTCCCTTCCCTTCCCTTCCCTTCCCTTCCCTTCCTCTTTTTTTCTTTTGTTTTTCTTTCTAAGATTTTATTTATTTATTCATGAGAGACAGAGAGAGAGGCAGAAACATAGGCATAGGGAGAGGCAGGCTCCCTTTGGAGAGCCCTGGATCCTAGGATCATGACCTGAGCCAAAGACAGATGCTCAACCACTGAGCCACCCAGGCATCCCCATGCTTGAACTTTCTAAGCCCACATGGACCAAAAGGCAGGCAGCCAGTGGGGGGAGCTGGGAGGTTAGGGGAGGGGTTAGGGGAGAAGTCCTTACATACTTGACCCTTGTGTCTGGTCAGGGCATGGGGCCTGTGGGCTCTCAGTCCCTGATGCTCTTTCCTGA